ACCGGCATTTGACTTCTAACTTCAAACTACCACGACTCCCTTGGTTGTCATATTCTACCCCTACCACAGTACTCACCTTACCTTTTTCTCTAACTTTGTGCCTGTCTGCCTCTTTTACATCTGCGAATCGCTCTTCTGTTACCCATCCTCTTTTACATCTGTTAATCGCTCTTCTGTTCCCCACCTCTCGACTTTCTGCTACTTTAATGAACCTTCCCTCTGTGAAGCCCGAAGTCAGTTAAATGGCTAATGATATCTATCAAAACACCTGACATTTGAAATAAATAAATGAAATACTTTGGCAAACATTGGATAGTCCAATAATTCCAAAATCCACGTGAAAAATTGCCCCTGATGTCGCATTACGACACATTCACTATTCCCCATTTCAAGTGCTTTCTTGAGATTGAACTTTCACAAGGTAACTTTCTTGGATTGTCATCGTCAACAATAGGCAAACGGCAAACTTGGGTGTTAAGTCCACAAATAGGTTATCAAAGGCCAATCTTCATTTGAAGCCACATCATAAAGATATGGTGTGATGTGGTATCAATGCACTATTACTTACTTGAGGTAGCCAATTTCAAAATATTTATCTCTGAAAGTAATTTGATTAAGTTCTTTCAAGTTGGGAACTCCTCCCCCCCCCCATAGCGTCTCATAAAATATTTTTTGTAAATAATTTTCAATTCAAAATACAGTAACTCAGTCAATGCTCGAAGTGAGGCAAGCGATACGACAGATTCCCAAATTGTCATGTCTGGGGTAACGAAAATGACACCTTTGAAGGTAAAATGGTCACCTACTATTTTTTGGTAGTTCAAAATGTTTATTTTCTCTAATAACCTAATGAATTTATTTCAAATAGGCAGCTTCTCCATAGTAAAGGAAATCACTTTTATGGAAGGTAGAAGCCCAGTGAAGAGATCAATTTAGATTAAAAGGTCTAGAGCAGTGAGCACTCATCAAATTAAACAAAATATAATAATACCATAATAGACTTATTCAACAAGACGATGTAGAACAAGATTAAGCCTAGCTTATCTTGGACATTGGAAAGTAATCAACATCAACCGAATTAGAATTGTACTTAAATAAACGAAAGTAGCAAAAAACCAACCTTGATCATATCACTATAACCTTGAGGACAGTTCTTGTATTTCGAGAAATAGACCAGTTGGACTGATTCAGATCGACATCTTTGCAGAACGCTTGAATCCACCTTCCCTTTGAGTAGACTGTACTTATCATGAATATCCGATGGAGGAATACGATTCAGAACAATATCCATTTTCTCACTCCTCTTCATGCTACCTTCCACAATTTTATCCAACACCCCATCCTTGTTAGATAGAGAGGAGGTGGAACAGTAAACAGAGGCTAGCCCATCCTTCCAGATGTTATAGAACCCAGCAGGATACACCGATACCCAGTCTTTTCCACGTACTTGAAGAGCTGCAGGTGGGTGCAGTTTTTCCAGTCCTTCACAGGACACACTCAAGCGCCTTGTTTTTTCACTTAGAAGTTTGATCTCAACTGGGTGCAGTTCCATCCTTCCCACACTAACATCATCTTGACTGTCGCTAGTTCCACCTTTTTTCTTAGAGCGCATGCGATCAATTGTGCTGAAGTGACGAACGAGGCCATCGTTTGAAGAGGCGCGAATGGAACAGAAATGCTGTTGGTGTTGACGTGAACGTCTTCGAGTACGGGCGAGGCCTCCTGTGTTAAGTGGAGGTGGATCGAGGGCAACATAGAGGAAGTTTAGATCATTATTCACTGGGTGAACTGAAAAAGGCAAATGATGAGGAATTTAAAGATGACATGATGCTTTTTCAACCTTGATATACGTAAGATAATGTTAGTTGCCTAATATCATGTGAGTTGCTTTCGACTTTTTCGCCTTTGAAAGAAAGAAAATGTGACTTAGTTTCATTCCCAACTGAAAATGATAAAAAATATTGAATATTGTGGCGAATGGTTTACCCTGGAATTCGGATGACGAATTTTGAATTTTCAATGTTAGAATGCGGACAGTTCATTCATTAAATGATGTATAAACCGAATCTGAAGATCAATTAATTAAATAATAATAAATTTACAAGGATAAAGTTTCAGCTGGTTCGAAAGCTGAGCATATAACTCCGAGTAGCTAAACGCGCTACCAAAATAAAGTTGGCTAAAGATGAGAGCAACCATTGTTTGAAGTCAGGCAATTGCGGATGCTAGATTTCTTCTGACATCAAGCAAATTGGGGATGGGCCATGAAATGTGTGACAATAAGAGAAATCGAATGTCTATGCAGGAAAATCAATTCAATCGTCCCCAATTGAATTGAAAACTATTCACCAGAATACAAATTAGCGCGCGCACACACACACCCTGAGGACTTATAGGGCTCCTGAGATATTTCTACTTTTTAATTTCCGTCCCATTTGGAAATTGTACGCATAAAAACTATGCATCTTTATGTCAAACTCGTATTTGTAATAAGGAAATAAACTGATCATCTTAACTGATTAACTTATTAATAAACGGTGAAATGTGTTAGTATCTAGTAGTCACTGAAAAGTTAATTATCACTAAGTTAGAAGACCGAATCGACTATTTTAGTGCTCCGAAGCAAAATTCAACAGTTTTACTTGTCATACACTAAATTATTGATTATTGGATTTCTATCCCTCCACCTGGTTAAATGTAACCAATACTGTAGGACTTATTGTTACAATTATTGACTAACTAGACAGCCAATCATTTATCAGGTAAATCATTACATTAATAAGTAAATTTAATAACATCACAAAAACAGCGTTCTTTGGCTTCACCCTATTCCTCCCCCCCCCCCATGTAGTTGTACTCTAATAAAGTGGTAATTGAGCATTGTAAAAGCAAATCCCTGCAATATTATGATGAAAAAAATGATGATCTGGCAGTAGGAGAATCGAGATGAGTACTTACAATCATAACCCACACTTCCAATCAATAAACAATAAATCTAAATTGAGATCAATAGGATTGAATTCAGGACAAGTGCAAGCTTGTGAGATGTGGCTATGGGTGCTGGCTGGGAGTTAATTTTTTGTACTATTATTTTGAAAAAAATTCAACATGCACTTATTTCTCCTTCAATAATTGCCCCATTTTAATAGACTGAAATTAAATGTGTTCAGTTCGGCAAGGTCATTTATCGTCGAGACTAAGAGTTCAGCTTATTAATCACATGACAGATTGAAAATCATTTCAATTTTTTTTTCATTTGAGATGAGGTGGTGATGTGAAAATAACTGTCCTCAGTAGGTGAGTTTGACCTCTCTATTAGAGAAAAGAGATTGAGTTTATCACATAGAGAAAAGATAGACTCATTATTAAAATACTCTCAGAGGTGACTAAATTTATCTAATTAGCAGCAATAAGTCGCCTTTAAGGAAACAACCTGCTCAAGTTCAGAAACAATGTCTCCAATTTTTGAAGGTAAATTCTAATATTAGTATTGTAGAGATGAAAGTTATTCAATCCTAACAGATTCTACACTTCCCTCACTACAATCAAACAAATTAGGAGTGGCTCTTGAAGAGCATGATTATGAAAATAAAGACACATGGTAATGTGCATTCCTAAAAAGAACGATTCAATCATATTTTCCTTTAATCTCAAATTGCGAAAGAAGAGACACCAACTCAAGTTGTTGTCAACAAATCCTTCCCTTCTAAGAATTCAATTGCAGGCAAATCGTATTAACAAAAAGGAAAATCGCGCTTTTGCACTACTAAAGGAACATCTATTTACCAGAATAAAAGAGATCTGAAAATTTAGAAGCATAAAAAATAATCTTTCCTACCCTCAATGTTGGATCCAAGAGAGATCTAAATCAAGGAAGTGTAATTACTGGGAAAAGAGGAGATTCCTCAACGAATGGGAAAGAAAGTAACAACTTCACCTCTTGGAAGGGGGCCATATCGAAAGATCTGAGAAGGAATACTTATATTTGTGAGAAGAAGGTACATTTGTGAAAATTTTCCTTCAAATAAATGTTAAAAAATTGTTGTTTTCTTTAATTAATGTCAGGCTTGGGCTTATATATATTAGGTTGGCAACTAAGTCATTGCCGATTTCAAATAAGTAGGCAAATTCGGAATTTTTGTTTAAAAATATAACTTTATTCAATTAGATATTGGCCGTTCTTGTCGATTACCTTTTCCATTGTTCTGGCAGAGTAAAAATTCCCCGTTCGTAAAATGTCTGGTCTTTGCTATTAAAAAACTGAATTAGGTGTGATCCGACATCATCCGCGTTGTTAACAATTTTACCATTTAAAGAGTTTTGCATGGAACGAAACAAATGGTAATCCGAAGGCGCAAGGTCAGGGCAGGGCTATATGGTGGGTGTGACAAAACATCCCAACCCAGTTCCAATAATTTTTGCCGAGTAACCAAAGATATGGGGGGGGGCCTTGCGTTATCATGATGGAAAACAACACCCTTCCGATTTGATAATGCCGGCCGCTTATCTTTAATTGCTTCCTTCAGTTTTTCGAGTTCTTCAACATACACATTTGAATTTATCGTTTGGTTCTGCGGCATGAGTTCAAAATACAAAATTCCTTTGTGATCCCACCAGACTGACAGCATAATCTTTTTTTGGTGAATCTCTGCTTTTCATACTGTTTGGGCTGGTTGATCTTGCTTCACCCATGATCTCTTGCGAGTAACATTCTTATAAACTATCCACTTTTCGTCGCCAGTAACTAGGTTCTTCCTCGGAAATGGATCATTCTCATTGCGTTTCAGTAGCGGCGAATCACAGATGCTGATCCGTTGCGTCAAATGAATTTCCTTTAACTGCTGGTGAGGGAACCGTAAATCAAGTTTCTTGACATAACCAAGGGTTTTTAATTTTTTTCAATGCATGTATGCGACACATTGAGCTTCTCTGCAATATCTCGTGTTGTGCCGTGACGATTTGAATCAATAATGGCCTTGATAGGGGTTTCATCCACTTCGACTGGACGGCCAGATCGTTGTGAATTTTTCAGTGAAAAATCACCGCAACGAAATCTTTCAAACCAATTTCGACACTGCCTTTCTTTTAAGACTTCATCTCCATATACGGCACATAACTTCTTTTGTGCTTGCGATGCGTTCTTGCCTTTTCGGAAGTAATACAATAAAATGTGTCGGAAGTGCACGTCCTGTTCTTTCATTTTTAAATTGGGATAAAAACAAAACTAAAGAACTAAACAAAAAAATTTGTTACTAATTAACCTAGAAGCCCATACAGTAAGAAAAAAATATAGGTTAGATGCTCTGGCCACGTTAACAAAACAAAAGAAAGTATAGAGTGAATCTGTCGACAAAAACGGCAATGACTTAGTTGCCAACCCAATATATATATATATATATATATATATATATATACATTGTTAGAAAAAGCTTGAAGAACACTTTTAAAAATTAGAACAAATCCATATTATCGATATCAAATACTTATAAGAAAATATAAAGACTCCGAACAGCCTTAAATCTTCGTAAAACGCCGATCGGTTGGATAAATTTCGCTGGCATCAACTATAACGCGATGGATCAAAATAATAATAAGATGAGTGCCGATTGTCTTGTTGTGGATTCTAAACAAAACGAATTCAGCAAACCAACTAGCAGGAAACGGAGACCCTAATAAATTAAGTGCCGGTAATTACAATTTCCGCAAACAGCTGCTTTAAATCAACTCCAAGTTCTTGTATACAAGCAGACACATTGCACTGAAGTGTACTGCATATTCACAGCGTGCTTCTAAAAATAAAAGTGACTAGCACTAGATTCAGCGATCCTCTAAATTGCAAAAAAATAAGGGGAAGACTTTGCAATCACCTTCCAAACAATGGCCCATCTTCGGTTGAAAGAATAGGAGGAAAGTTAATCGATATTGATTATAGATTATTAGGTCATCTGTTTCTCCGATTGCCAGAAATACTTCGAGTAAATAGGGTACAATTTGACATGTCGAAAATTAAACAGGCAAAAGAATAGCAACATGCACTGTGATTCAACAACATGGCATTCTCGATTGAAGGAACATGTAAATAGTCAAGTATAGGCTTTGTTTGGCAGTAATTAATTGGCACTTAAGATGCAATGGCTGTAAATAATAATTGTGTTTTGTTTTCTCCTTCCCTCGGTAACTGACATGTATGGCATCAAAGATTTAATTGGGAAATTGTTTATATAATAAGAAAAATATACATTTTTTAAAAAAAGGCATACTCCCGCTACGCTTGGGCAAATGAGTAAGATCACAAGAGCATGAGAGACGCATGAAGAACTAAAACAACCACGGGATTAAGTAAACAACACAAAAGGAATTTAAGGACTTTAAATACCTTATTATCTGTTGTTGAATGCAATTGTGTTCCATATAACAAATAATTCACCCATTTGGGAAAGACCATATAAAACTAACTTTAGGGTCCTACCCGGGGAGCGATTCGAAGTCTACCACCACCACCACCGCCTTTATCAACTAGAAGCCCGAACTGGTGCTGTTGGCCACTCCACCCACCGGGTGTGTATTGGTGGATATGGAGCTGACGATCCCTAACTTCTAAAGTGTCCATTCTTTCCAATGGGCTTCTCTCAGTGGTAGATCAAAATCTCTAAGGAAATGAGCAAACGCGTTTTTCGAAAGGGTTTAAAACGTTTGCCATCCCATAAAGATAAATTAAACTTAGATTTGAAAAGTTAAAACATTGCGAAAACCATTCTAAAGGCAAAACTGAAGGCGTAGCCTACCAGGCATCGAGTTCTGAATAAACTTCACGGGCAATTGGAACCACGAGCATGGAACGCGGGCTTCAAACTTAGCAAACACCGGTCGATGATCTGAACAGACATACTCGGGCAAGTAGTTGTAAGCCAGCAGCTTCAACTCCGGAGAATCTTCGGTGGCCTCACAACCAACTCCACAATTGGATGTCGATGGACCGCCACGTGAGGGTTTCTTGCGCATTGCCTGTGGCATCTTTCGTCCGTTCTCGTCCAATTTGACATTGTGCTCCAGGGCAAAATCGTTGTGTGCCATGTAGAGAATTCGATCTGTGTACGAGGGGACTCGTTGTTTCTTGCTGTAGTGAATGGAGGGAAAAACAACAGTCATTTAAACTTTTTATGGCACCTGCAGAGCACTTTAAATTATGTATTCCCCCTAGGAGAACACCTTTTCACCCAAGTCTTCAAGAGGATCCACTGGCGTGAGGATATGGTACTCGTGAATTAAGCCAGTGGTTGAATTTCTCTTTAATAATAATAATAATTTCGAGCTCTAATTAATCAGTTTTATTTTAGAGAAAATAAATTCGCTTTTTAATTAGTGAAATTGATGGCGGCATGTCAAGTAGGCAGATGTTCCAAATTTAAACGTCCTGTCCCGTTAATTATTACGTGGAATCACTTGAATGAGGTAGAACAAGCACCACCTCAACTTATACAGCCGGTACTTATGGCCAATAAAACGACTAGGGGGGGGGAGGGAAGGGGGATGGAGGGAGAGAGGGGGGGGGGGGCAACTGGATCTCAACATGAAACATC